ATATCTCATACTTGCAAAAAAAATATAGTAGGAGAGCTGGTAGATATTTTTGAATATTTATTTGAGGCATGCTGAAAACTATTCCTGCACCGCTTCTATATTATCCTAACACGGAACTGCAGACCTGGATGGGGAGTAGTAAGGCTAAATCAACCCTTATACAGGGTGTACCGATAAAAACTCCCAGGCCGAATATTTTGGTAAGTAACAGAGATATTTTAATTCTGTAAAAGTTTCATCCTGTTTTTTAACCAACTTCAAAAAAGGAGGGGGTTCTCAATTCGTCGCAATATTTTTTTTATGTATGTTCAGCGATAATTCTTTAACACGGTGTCCGATTTCAATGATTCTTTTTTTGTTAGAAAGGGGTACTTCAGGGTTGGTCCCATATGAATTTGGTCAAAATCAAATAATTTGGTCCATGAGAAAATCCTCAAACTCTTCATTTTTTATGTATGTTTAGCGATAATGCTTTACCACCTTGTCCGATTTATATGATTCTTTTTTGTTAGTAAGGGGATACATCAGAGGTGGTACCATATAAATTTGTGATGGCATCTGCACGTTTGTGAAGTCGTTTTTTTTTTTTTTAATTTCTAATTCTTGTCGGCATTAATCATTGAATTTTTAGAAAATGCTAAAACAGGTCGATTTTAATTCCAAATTGAACACATTTTTGCAATACAAACTTCTCCAATCCCTTAATTTTAAATAAAGAATGTACCATGTACGGCACATCATTGAAAAGGTAATTTTACGGGGAAGTCAGAAATATATACTTTTAATTGCGATACTTTTAATTTTAACGCCCTCTATCGGGATAAAAAAACCTGTAACATATTATGAAGTGTGACACTTTATTTGAAACCCAATTTAATTACTAATTTAATTCACCACATAACATTAATATAAATATTTCCATATTGCACTTGCAACAAAATAAAGTTAGTAATAATGTTTAAAATAATGCATGACTAATTTTTAAACTATTACAAGTGTAATATGGAGAATATTTATATTAATGTTATGTGGTGCATTGAATTAGTAATTAAATTTACTTTCAAATAAGGTGTCACACTTTATAATACGTACAGTTTTTTTATCTCGATAGAGGGCGGTACAATTAAAGGTATCGCCATGAACAGTCCTATTTCTAAATTTCCCATAAAATTACCTTTTTAGTGATGTAATACACATTGTAGAGTCACACTCTATAATACGTAGTAGTTTTTTATCCCGCCAAAGGGCGATAAAATTTAAGTAATGCAACGTACATAAATATATCTGAATCTCCCATTAAATTTCCTTTTCAATGATGTGCCATACATGGTACATTACCTATTTAAAATTAAGGTGTTAGAGAAGTGCAAGGGAGGGGGTTGACACATGACAAATGTCTGTATTGTAAAACTGTTTTTAATTTGGAATAAAAATCGACCAGTTTTGACATTTTCTTAAACTCCAATGATTAATGCTGAAAAACAGGATGAAACTGTTTTGAGTGACCCACTCTGTATACCAAATTTTTTTTTATTTAGTGCAAATTTACAATCTACTCTAATTACAAAACAAGTTTGATTTGTGGCTTGTTTTGGGCATCATCCAGTGATGATTCTCCAATACATCTAGTCAGTTAGGTCTTCTGGCCATGTCCTTTTGAGCCTTCTTCCCAATAGCGGCAGCTGGTAAAGTAAATTTATAGTTTGGCTATCGTGAGCGAAGTTTCTTTCTTTGGCTTTGTTTGCATGTAGAGTGATAACATCTTTTATAAATGGTATCCCAAGGTCATTGTGGATTGTTGCATTGGTAACGTACCATGGAGCATTTGCTATCATCCTTGATTGAAAGGTTTGTAGTATTTGACGGTTTGCTGCAACCCCATAATTCGACACCATAGCTCCAAATCGGTTTTAATATTATTTTGTATAATTAGACTTTGTTTTCTAATGACAGCTGAGATCTTTTACCTAGCAACCAATACATCTGTTTGACTTTTAGATTTAGGTGAGCTTTTTTTGTTTTTATATGATTTTTTACGTCAGCTTCCGGTCCAAATGGAGTCCTAGGTACTTAACTTTTGTTTTGATGGAGATGGGAACGTTATTGATGTAAACCTGTGGACAGTCGCACCTTCTTGTTGTAAATGTAATTTGTGTGGACTTTTCACCATTAACCTTAATCTTCCATCGTTTTAACCATGTCTGTAGCAAGTTTAAAAGGTTTTGCAGCTTTTCAGATGCTTTATCTGGATTTTTGTCTGATGTAAGGATTCCTGTGTCGTCGGCGAATGTTGCCACAACGATGTCATCTTCAACAGGTATGTCAGTAGTAAATAGGAGATAAAGGAAAGGACCGAGGACACTTCCTTGAGGAACTTCGGATTGTATAGGGTGTTATTTTGAGAATGAGGTATTTATCTTGATTTGAAAGTATCGCTCATTCAGGTATGATTTTAATATTAGGTATGTTTCACTAGACAAATTCTTTTTCACTTTGTATAACAAGCCTTTGTGCCACACCTTCTCAAAAGCTTTTTCTACATCGAGGAATAATGATGCACACATTTTCTTTTCTTCTAAGGTTCCTTTGATATAATTCACAATCCGATGACACTGCTGTATTGTCGAGTAATTTTGCCGAAAGCCAAATTGATAATCAGGTATGATGCGATTTATATCCGCTGTTTTAAAGATTCGGTCTAGAAGAAGTCTTTCGAAGATTTTTGATATTTTTGGTAGAAGGCTTATCGGGCGGTAGGAAGTGGATTCTGTGGGCTGTTTTCCAGGTTTCAAAATCATGATGATTTGTGCGTATTTCCATTGAATTGGAAAATGGCACATTCTTAGCATGCTGTAATATATAATCGTTAGCAAGACTATTGCTTTTCTGGGCAGATGCTTCAATACTTCACCAGTAATTAGGTCGTAATATGGTGCCTTATGTGGTTTTGTTTTGTTTATAGCTTTCCAAATCTCTGTCGGTGTACATGGTTTTAGTGGTAACGATAACTGGCAGGAAGTATCAAGGAATTCTCATACTTCATCTTCGGCATGGTGTTGCAGATCTGGGCTAAATACCTGAGCGAGGTGTTCCGCTAATGTATTTGATTTTTCTTCATCTGTTTTTGCCCAATTTCGATCAGACTTTCTAATTGGCGGAATAGATGAGATTGGCCTCTTACATTTTTTGGTAGCCTACCATAATGAATGATCATTAGGTGTAAGATTGAAGATATAATACTTAAAAGTCTCGTTACGGGCCTGGAATAAAGCTGAGCGCAGTTTATGTGTTAATCGGTTTAATTGAGTTTTATCCAGAGGGTTCCTTGATCTTTGCCATTTGGCTCTAGTTCTTCTTTTCTCGCTTAGAATTTCTATAATGTGTAAGGGAATGTTATGATCCTGAGTCGAACTTCTCTTGTCATCTGGAGTTGATTTCCATGCGGCATCTTGTATTACGTCTGTTAAATGTTGCACTGCTTTTTCTATTTCATTGGGTTCTTTAATTCGATGATTCAAGTTGATATTTGAATTTATTATAGCTTGAAACTGTTCCCAGTTGGTTTTTTTATTGCAGAGTTTTATCGCAGGTTCCCTCCATATTATACTTGTACTTAGTGTTATGATGATAGCGCTGTGATCGGAACTTAAATCAAGACTGGGCTCTATTTTGGAATGTATATTTGAGATACCTTTGATAATGGCGAAGTCTAGCAGGTCAGGAATCTTGTTTATGTCAGTAGGCCAATACGTTGGCTGACCTGTGGAAAGGAAGTTTAAGTTATTTCCCTGCGAGTATGCCAATAAATTACGCCGTTTTGGTGTTATAAGTCTCGATCCCCATGCGGTGTGTTTGGCATTCCAATCACCTGCTGCTATAAATCGAGGCCCTAGCTCTTGAAAGAAATTTTGGTATTCTTCTAGTGATATGGAGTGTCTAGGAGGAGAGTAAATAGCTGCAATGGTTAGATGCCATGTAGAAATTTCTATTTTTATTGCAGTACCTTGTATTTTAGGTGTGGAGCAGTTTTGTAAGAAATAGTGTTTAATAGAAGATTTAATAATAATTGCTGATCCAGCCTGAGCGGTTCCGTCAGGATGATGTGTAAGGTATGTTGTATACAAGGGGATTTTTATTACTGTTCTTTCAGTTGAGTGTGACTCTGAAATAAGAAGAATATCTAATTTATTTGCTTTTAAAAATACTATGATTTCCTAAACATGGTTTGACAGCCCGTTAGCATTCCAGGCAGCAATTCTAATTGAAGAAGCCATTATTTCGTTATTTTGCTAATAACTGTCGTTAGCATGTTCAGGATCATGCTATTTTGATTCAGTAGCTGACTAAATAAGTTTTTAAATTCATTTAAGAAGACATTATGTTTGTTAAGTCTTCACCGCTGCTGAGTCTGTTGCTGTTTCCTGAGGTTACTTGGGCATAATTGATTCCATTTTGTGGATATTGTTGAGTCATTTGATGGATTAGTGGATTAGGATTTACGTATTCGCCTGTATTTCTAGGTCTAGTTATGGTGTTATTTTTGTTCCTTGATTTTATTAAGTCTTGATAGACAGTACAGCCTTTATAATTCGCTGGGTGGTTGCCTTTGCATAGGACACATGTTGCAGGTGTGTTTTTGGATTTTGTACAGCTTTTTGTATCGTGTGGTGCTCCACATTTAACACATTTGTAAGGCTTTAAACAATATGACTTGGATTGTCCATATGCCTGACATCGAGTGCATTGCACAATGGTGTTCTTTTGTTTCAGAGCTTCAACTTTAATCTTGGTGTTATATATGAATTCAATATCAAAAACTTTTTATTGTTGTTTTTTGGTTCCAAGTCGATAAAAAATAGCGGTAGGGGTTCTTTTGTTACTCTGTGTTTAAAATATTCCTAACTGTGTGGTTTTTTTTTTTAATAATTCGGCTTTGATTTTCTCTAAGGGAACGGAATGGTGTAATCCTCTTAGGATGATTCTGTATGCCCTTTCTTGTTTTAGTTGGTAACTATGGTGTACTGTTTTTCTCTCCCATGAAGTTGATTAATTTCAGGTGTTCTAGCATTTATTTTAACAACATTTTCAGGAAGAGTACTGGTAAAATAAGTTACATCTGGTGTAACTTCTATTGAGTCAGTCATATCTTTATAGTTTGTTACTCCGTAAACGTAAATAGGAGGCGGCTTGGGATCTTCTGTTTGGGTATTTGGGTCATCTCTATTTTGGATTGGGTTTGTATCTGCGTTTTCTCCTGAGAACGTTTGGAACCTGTTAGATGTGTTTACTGATGTGCATAGATCAGGAGTTTGTGTTATTTTAGTACGTTTTCTTTTCGATCTTATCTGTTGCCATGAACATGAATTTGTATTTTCATTTGCATCACTTTCCATGTTTTCGTCATCACTTGATGAGGACGGGAGGTTATAATCTATTTCTTCTGCAAAATTACTGTGGACTTGATTTGGACGATTTGAGGTAAGGATAATTGTTGGAAATTAGATGGATGATTGTACATGTTGGGTAGAGGTGGAAACTGATTTTGGTAATACTGCATCATTTCTGTTGACATAGAGTTAGGTTGTTGCATATATTGCTGATTTGGTTGCATTGGTTGCATTTGAGGTTGACTCATTTGTGCATTATATGTATTGTTATTTAGACCAGGTCCTGTTATAATCCCGGTCGGGAACATTTTTGTTTAAGAAAAACATTTGATATCACAATAATTGTAAAAAAGTCTATATCGTCTTTGTTTACTTCTAATTTAAAAGTATTTAAAACTCATTTAACTTTGCAAACACTTTCCCAACTAGTGGCTAGTGTAATGTTCTTGCTGGTTCACTATCACTATTTTTAACTTATATAAAACCACTATTTTCGAGGTATTATTATAGAGCGAAGAATACGCTAATTCAGTGATGATGTAATTATGGTTCCACTGACAATTAAAGTGACAGTAGATTTTTTGTGTTCGTTTTGTTTACCTAAATTATATCGTTTTTTCACTTCTTTAAATATATTCGCCTAAAGTAAGTAAATAACATGCATCAAATATACAATTGTTTAGTTACCTTTAAACTATTTTTTATGACATGTAAACAACTAAAAACAGTATAAACTTATATGTCAAATTTATTGATGTTTTTGTTAAAAGTTTGGTTAGAATTAATTGTCAGTGGAACCAAAATGACATCACACTGAACTAGCGTATTGCTGTTGTATGCCATATGGTGGGTCAACTGCACACGTATATCAAAAATGGCTAGATTTATCGAATTAGTTCATAGAACAAGATCTGCTTAGAAATGCATTTTTTACAAGATGCGCCACACAAGAAAGATCCTCCTATCGAAAAAGCATTGAGCGCAGCGCCATCTACATATTGACCTATTTAAAATCAATTTATATCTAAAACTGAAGCTCTCTTAGTGCTCTGTGAACTGGCTTTTACAGAATTAAAATATCTCTATTACTTACCAAAATATCCGGCCTGGGAGTTTTTATTGGTACACCCTGTATAAGTGAGGAATTTTTTTGCAAAAAATATCTTTGAGGCAATCTTAAATTTTTATACCTTTAAATTGAATATTTAAAGAGTAAACAAATAAATAAGCCAGATTATTTAGTCGGGTCTTTACAGATCCTTGCAAAACTATTTTGCAAAAAAAAATTAAAAAATATATTTGAGCAGAGTTGAAATTTTAACAGGATATTATTTATTATAAAAAAAATTCTAAAAAAGACATCATTTCGGTGGGACATTCTACCCGCCAGGTGATCGAGAAAAATACGTAAGTTGCAGTGTCTGTGTGTATGTGTGTGAGAGAGAGAGAGAGAGAGAGAGAGCGAGCGTGCGTATATCGACAGCTGTTTTCGTCCTCGAACGCCGCTATATCATTGGCCCGGGGAAGACCACGTGACTAACTTTATCCATGCGGTTGTCAGTCTGAATTTTGGAGTAATTATTACATTTAAAAATTCTTGCGCAAATAAATGTCTACATAGGCCCTGAAAAAATACATGCATGTTGGGGTGTAGCATTCTTCTTATCAAGTGTCAGTTTGGATTTCATTCCCTGTCGTGCGTAGTTATCGCGGACATGACTCGTCTGTCTTTGTCGGTCATGGGTCAGGCAGAATTTTTTATTTTTTTATTAAATTTGTATTCACTCTGAGGGTTCAAAAATAACTTTTATTATTTCGTAAAGGTAATGTGATTTGTTTGGGGATTTCCTAGAAATGTATTTGCACATTTTTCGGATATTTAACCGATCAGTTTTCGGGATTATAAAACTGATTCTTTCACTGTATTTGTTTGAGTTGAAAACGGCCTAAGGAAGTGTCTGCATGCGGTTGCATGTTTCACCAGATCATGCTGTACATTTTTTGACACGCGAGGTCGGATTCGAAATCTTATATTCATCTTGACAATTTGGAAGTCTCTGACTATGTCAGAGATAGCTTAATTGGAAGAGCGAGTGTGCGTAGAACAGGAGTAAGTGGGTTCGAATCCCCCGCGGGTTGACTTTTTAATTTTTTATTGAATTTGTTTTCACCTTGGCGGTTTGGGGAGGTTTTTGGGGATTTCCTGAGAATTAATAAATATACAATTTAATAAAGATATTACAACAAATTGCACTAAATATCCATATTTTTAAAAATTACTTTTTCGTTTGGTTGTTTGGATGAACAATTAAAACAAAATAAAAAAAACACTTCTCTTATAGGTTTTATTATAAGCCAGTAACTTGAAACGACAATGTGTGGACAATTCTTACTTTGGTTACAAATACATTTTGCACAAACATTTTTAGTTTTGTAATATCCTACTGGAGTTCTTGGCATCAAATTCACAGCAGTTAACGTAGTTTGGATAATCACATAATCCAGTGTTTTCGTTGAATAAGGTATTTGCTGAACAATTCATTTTAGTACATTTAAAATCATCACAAAGATAAAAGTTTCTAAAAAAGATTATTTATAAAATTGTCTTTGCGCATAACAAGTTTAGCAAAATGACTTTGGGGCCAATTGTGTTTAAGTATACACTAATTTTTGCCTTTCTGATTAAAAGTCTTTGGTTAAACAAATACAATAAAATATCTATTAATATAGCGAAAATATGAGCTGAAAAAAAAAAAATCCCGGAATGAGCCATATCTGCAGTCAGTTCTAAGGATATTTAAATCAATTGTGTTTATAGATTTAACTGCTTTTGTATTTTTATGAAAACTACAGGGTGTTTATTAATTGAGTGCCGATACTTAAAGGTATGAATCCTTGGGTGATTTTAAAAAGAAAAGTTAATATTAACATATGTCGAAAACCTAATTTTTGAGCTACACTTTTAAGAAAAAAGTAACTGTTTTATCATAATTTTGTACACACCTTTTAATCATTAAGGAGCATTTTTTTAGATTTTTTTGAAGTTTTACCAGTGACGTACATACGGAGTTTGATCTGGTTATTTAAAAAAAAAAAAAAAAGATATGCCACTACTTTTTGTAAAAATCAAATTTATTTTTGAAATCCTTATTTAATTTGAAGCAAATTTGGTCCAGAGATTTAGTTTCGTACGATGCACCGTTTTCGCGTAAAAAAAAAAAATAAAAACCAAAAACACTTTTTTTCTTAAGTTCATTGAAACTGCTTTTGATATTTTGTTGAAATTTGGAAACACTTTTTTGGGGCAAACATTAATTTTTTACTTCCACCAGTGACGTCCACGTAGGCATGATATTGAATGTTTGGATATAAAAAAATGGTACGCCTCTGATTTTTTAAATTTTATTTTAAAAATTACGATTCATTCAGTAAAACGATAAATTCAAAATGATAATTTAAAGCGAAATAACAAGAGAATACAAACAAAATAAAAAACCCAAATTAGAGTAATTTTTGGAGGTGTTCTCTACCCACACGTATAAAAGCATCTACTCTTCTTCGCACAGACTGCCGCACATTTTCATAGATTTCTGGGGTGTTTCTTATGGTTTGGCAGCATACTATTATACGATTTCGTAACTCTTCTTCGATTTTAATCGGCACTGGGTATACTAAGCTTTAACGATGCCTCCATAAAAAGTAGTCTTAACTATTAAGGTCGGGAGATCTAGGCGGCCATGACTGATTCCTTCCCCGAACTATGCACCGATTGCGATAGATGTGATTTAAAAATCGTCCACCCAGACAGCACACCAAATCCTTTGGATATCTACTGAACATCCCAATATCCACTGATTGTCCAGTCCATGGTAGATATCTATTTTATATCCATGAAATGTAATTTATAGACATGCAAATGTCCATAAATAATAGTAATTATATAGCAAATTATTAAAAAATTACGCCATTGTGCTCACCATTGTGGCTAATAGTACCGTTCAGATATTTAAAATTAATTTTTTTAAGGTGTATTCAATATCCCATGAACATCCACTAAATATATCAAAGTCTAGGCGCGAACGCAAACCATCGTGGATATCCACTAGATGTTATTTGATTCTGCTTACTAAGTATAGATGGCGATACCACTATCGCATCTACTCATGCTCGATCCGCCTTAATTGAGTTCGATCGAAATGTGTGTCCTAATCACTCCATTAGAGACTGGAGTCGAGAATTTTCATTTATTGCTGAAGAGTCCTAATAAGGATGACTTTCTCCTTAGTGGACAAAATCAAAGGCAGAGTGTTGAAAATATTTTGAGTGTTGAAAATATTTTTTATCTCTGTCATTTTCTTTCGACGTTATTCAATAATCATTGGTTACTTATGAACCTCTACTAAAGATACCCATAAAATATTTTGCTGAATATCCGAATATCTTCTATATCCTGAGATATAGACGGACATTTGGTTGGATATCCATATTGGATATATTGAATATCCACAAAATATATTCTGTGGATATCTCTGTGATTTTTTGTATTTTCTGGAAGATACCCATTAGATATTTTGCTGAATATCCATTAGGATATCTTCTATATCCTGGATATAGACGGACATTTGGATATCCATATTAGATCCACGGAATATTTCTGATATCCTGTGGATATATTGGATATCCACAAAAGATATTCTGCGGATATCTCTGGGATTTGGTGTGTTGTCTGGGCATTAGCCACATCTAGTTTCTTATTAAAAGAGGAAAGTCTTCAAGCATTGGCGGCAGATCTTCAAAAAAGTGTAAATATGATTGTCTATCAAGACTTCTTGGGAGAAAAAATGGGTCTATCAAATAATACTAAGGTTATCCATATCCTAAATGTGAAATATCCGTAAAGTAAGTCTTGTTCACAAAATTCATATAATAACTAACATTGCCAGCCCAAAAATTAATGGTTATTATGGAAATTTATTATTGGAATTTCGAGAAAAATTAGCTTCATT